CCTCCAGGCCTTCCGCAAAGCCTTTACAACCTGGCTGTTCCGACAGGCCTGGGGCTAAAGAGTTTTTGCCCCCCTTCTCGAATGGTATGGTTGTTGTGTGTTTTTAAATTGTGTATTGTTATGTTTCGTCTTTTTATCCCCTGTTTGTCCCCCCTTCCCTGATTGAATTGTGAGCTGCCCTGAGTCCCCTTCGGGGAAAAGGGCGGCATATAAATGAAATAAATCCAATCCAATCCAAATCAAAAAGGCAGAAGTTATAAGCTGAAGAAAAGAGCCTACTTGGACTAGCTATATTTATCAGTAAATTCAGTCAACATGTTGCACTACTCTTTCTCAGAATCTGACAAAAGTGATCTGAGAAGCACTATATGAGTACAATATTTTAGAAAAAAGTGTTAATCAATAAATTATAATTATAATTTATTGATTTTTCTCCTATCTCTTCCCTTGTCCCTTCTCCCAATTTTGTTCACGCTGGCTTAGTTGCTACATACGTTTCAGGCCAGTACTGGCTTTTTGGGGTGGGATATGCTGCACAACTTTTGTTCCCCCGAAAATGACATGCAACCTGGAATCTCCTTGCATATCCAGGACGTGATCAGGATCCAAATCCTCAACAGGCTCCTGCATAGGACAAAACAGAACTTGAGCATTGACAATAAGCGAATAAATAAGACAATAAACACAAAATTTGCTGAGATAGGCAGAGATGTAGGCAGCCAGTCTTTGCTGAATTCTCTTTATCTATATTTTTGCTTATACAAATTATGTATTTTCTCAAATACAAGAATTGTCCTTGTTCAAATGAGAGTTGGCCCCAGAATCGGACGATGATCCAGAGCAGGGATGTCAAACTCGCGTCACTACAGCAATGTCATGTGACGTATCAAGACTTTTCTCCCTTTTACAAACTTTTACTTTTGACTAGGTAAAAACCGTGGATGCTTTAAGAGCCTGTTTTCACTCTATAGGTGCCAATATGATGTTCCCAATAAAGCTATTCTTTGAGGAACCTATCGGCCTCAGAGTTTTGCTTTCTATGGGTTTATGACTTGGAACCCTGGCACAAACCTTCATTTGAGGGACTGACTCTCCAGTTAACATGGCTTCGTCTACAATACACCTTCCTCGCAGCAGCAACATGTCGCACGGCACGAGGTTCTCATGGGGAGAGCGGCCTGGAATAAAAAGTTGAATGCTCAGAAAGGAGTTGGGAGAAAATATGGGCTTAGTCGGGATCTAGATTACTCTAAGGATTGTGAAGGACTTGCAAGCTGTTCTTCTTTCCCCATCTTAGGAGAGCTCAGCCTGTTTAGGCAGCACAAATGAAGGATGATTTTCCCACTGAACAGCAAGAAAAAGTTGCTGACATATTAATCCTGTTTTGCTAGTATGTCATATGCCTTCCTGAATCTCTCCAGTGAGGTCCAAATGCTTTCTGCCCCTTCGATGCTGCCTTCTGCACGTTCACAAGGAAAATTACACAAGGAATGGCCAGGGGGGGGGACGGGACTTCAGTACAGTACTTTTGACATAAAAGTAACATGTTTACAAGCAAATTCTTCCTCTTAAAAACAATATTAACCTAAGTTCAGCTTATCTCAGAAAATGCAGCCTCACAGATCTGGACAGACTTCTTTCTGCCCTAATTCTCATTCAATACCTGGCAGTTTTACTGATATATAGGAGTATCTGAATACAGACAAAAGCCAAAAAACCCTTTGAAATAGAAAAAGGTAGGTAGTTCTTTATTTGCGACAAGTAAGGGATCTCCATTACCGACTGAAACAATGTCCCCTGGAATTATTTCATCACTGGAAATTGGCCGCCACTTCCTGTTTCTGTAAACCTGAAAAATAAAGAGGCAGCAAAATAATATTTTGGATCCTTGGGCTGAAGTAGCTTTGGAGAAGCAACACCCACCTATGTAACTTTCATGGTAGCTTTAACCAAAAGAATTTGTTCATAAAAATAATAGAATGTAAGAATAAAAAATGGATGGAACGTATATACACTTTCTCTGTAAATTTAGCCTGTTCCTAAATTTATCCAAAATTTAATCATTGCTTTCATGGAAGAAACCAATACATTTACAAAGCCAAGAAAAATGGAGATGTCTTAGGAGCTAGTGAATACTGGAAGGGGAGAAAAATGTGAAGATTTGGGTGACAAATGAAATTTTTTTGATAATTAAGCACCTTTCCATCTTAGTTTCTACGGTTGTGGCAACTCTTCCTGTCTTACTGAAAATCCCACGTATCAATCACTCTGCTTTTTCTGTCAGCTCCTCTCTCTTTAGCAAGCCCACTTAACGAATAACAGCAACTGTTATTCACATCACCCTGAGTGACAGGACCTCCAATATTCTGGAAGTTAACAGTTCATTAGAATCTCTGCAGATGGGGGCGGGGGGGGGGGAGGCGGAAACAGCACTGGAGCCTTCAAGTTTTGTTTGAGTCTCATCATCTCTTGCCCTTGCTTACCTGGATCATGTAGGGTTTGTTACCCATTTTTCGGATCTCGGACATGTTCCTCATTTGTTGCTGGACAAGGGATGCTTCAAAAGCTACCAGCATGGAAAGAGTGAAGACGCTATAGTACCAGTATTCATCCAGGCACCACAGGCCCACACAAAATACCTGTGAAAAGCAGAATCAAAGGATTTTAGGGATCACGCAGTTTGGCAACTTTTTGGAAGCTACGAGCCACAATGAAATATTTATATAAATATAAGTATTTCCACTTTCTTTGCTGAGGACGTCTGAACAAGTCCAAATTACATAAATAAACTGCATAAATAAAAAGCTTATAACTCATAATGGTCTGGGAATCAACAGCTTTGAATGACATCAGCATTTGCTTATCCCTTTGTCAATTTAAGAAACAATGAAATAACATCAACAAAAAAATACACTTAATGTTGTGCCTTGGCATACAGCTTTTATTACCTGAAAGACGAAGAAAGGAGCTGTTGCTCTCTCTTTGAAGAGTTCCAGGAATTCTGGCACAACCATTTCTGCCCTGTGTGAAAAGCAGAATCCTTGTTCATTTTAGCACTCACCCTTTCTTGAGCCCACTCAATTTGCAAAACTTTCGGTTTTGCTGCATTTAACTTTCAGTCTTTTGGGAGATACGACAACATTGTCAGGAGGATCACAGATTCTCCACCTCCGCTTTGGATCATGAAGGTTTCATTTTTCTTACCCATTTCTCGCTCTCTTCTATTTTCACTTTGGCTTCATCAAATTATACTTCAAAGCTCAGAACTTTAAAGCTTCAGGCACTACTTAATCGGGACTGCTCCTCAGTTGTCATGGTCAGTCCCACAATTTTCATCATCAGTGGATAATAATCAGTAGTTAATATTTAATAACTAATTAAATAACTACTGGAATAATTAGGGGCGGGGGGGGGGGGAAGAACCTTCATATACATTGTAGCTGAAAATGCTACCATATCTCCAGTCCACATCAACAACTCGGTAAGAACAAAAGCAGTTGTAATTTGGGATACTGGGAAAGTGCCAAGTTTATGAAAACTGGGTTACAGCTGTGGAAACTGAGTTTTTTTTTGTTTTTTGTCTTGCTTTTCTTTAGCTTTTAAGACAAGAAAGTTATAGTTATACAGTAGGAATAAAGGGAGAAACTGTGTCTACAATTGGGATAAGGAAAGCAGATCTATGCCTTCGAGAGAGCTAATATGTTTTTAATTACAAAGGCATGCCTGAACACAGAGGGTCTTTAAATAGGGCAAGACAGCTTGTTATGAGGGGTTGGATGAATGAGATGAAGAACTTTCTTCCACGATACAGGATGGAAAGATGAGTTATTGGGAATGTAGAAAGGCAGGAAAATGAGTAAAAATGGGCTTAGGATTCATGCAATTGCATGCCAGAATGGGACAACTCGCTTTGGCCAATTCAGTGTGGCCAACTCACCACAGCCAACTCACTGTGGGACAATTCAACAATTCAATTTAATTATTTAAAATAATTTAAAAAATATTTTAATTTTTGCATTGCACATTTCATTTTATCCCTCCTTTGGCACCCTTCAATATTAATGTAACTCTTGTCCCACAGGGAGTTGACCATCGTGAGTTATTCCATGGCGAGTTGGCCAAAGCGAGTTGACTATAACAAGTTGGCTGTGGCCAGCTGTCGTAGACCCATCTCATGCAAAGGAATAAGATTGGAATAAAATTGATCTTGGCAAGATAGAGAGCAATTAATCTCATGGCTGCTAAGTGTCTAAATTCAGCTTATTTAATTTACAAATGATAGAATTGTAAGTCAATGTTGGGGGATAAAAAAGCCTTCTAGGAGACATATACATATACTTTAATGTAGATAGATGGAGTAGTGGAAAGGCAGCATATCAGCTTAATAAATAAGTGCAATAAGGAGCAATAAAATTTTTATTTTTTGCTATTGTGAATTATTAACTAGAAACTTCTCTTCCATATCCGTCTGGCAATCAATGCTAGGTAATATATCACCAACACGCTGTCAATAGCTATAGACTAATTAAGCTGAATATTCAACAGTCAAGAGCTTAGATATTCCTGTCTTAAGAAGTTTATGATAAATATTATAGATAAATACTGTAGCCCGCCTTTGTCCTACTTACTTGTTGGTGCCATATTTTTTTTCTGCTGCTTTGATTTCTTTGTCTTCCTGGTAACCACGAGCATTCTGATAATACTGCAGTGGGTGCTCCACAGGAAATGCCACAGGAAGGAATTTTTTGCTTTCACTTAGCTCACAAAAGTATTTGATTTTTTGAAATTCAAAAGAAAGAACCTCCCCTCCATCTTCTCCCTAGAAAGGACACACAAATTAACTTTCTGCGTACATGGAGCCAGTTTGGAGATTTCTGCCATTAAGTGTGACCCACTATGAGGAAGCTGCCTACAGGTCTCCCTGCTACAACAGGCCAAGGGAAACATAAACGCTACAGCAAGGGATACAACACGACACATAACCCAGCTGTGATTTTGCAGCTTTACAAATAATAAAGCTGCTAGTCACAAATGAATTTAATTTTCATAAAAGCAAATGTTTGTATCTGTTGGCAAGAGAATATCAGTGGAAAAGTGGGGAAATAAATTTTCTGTCAAATTTCACATCCTTCCCACTCAGAACTCGTGATACCGCTAGAATATTGTTTTAGGAATATGGTAGGTACTGCAATTGTGATCTGTTGAGACAAGTGCTGCAGATGGGAAGGAATCTTAAGGGAAAGTAGGATAAAAAGCAGGGATGGGATTCAGCCGGTTCGGGAGAATCAGTAGCTCCAATGATCAGCTAAGAGCAAACTGGTTCGCTATGACAATGAGGCAGGCTTACCCGCTTGCCCCTACACTATACTGACCTATATTTCCTTTGTTTGAAGCCTAGCTGATAGGCGCGGCAGAGCGGATTGCCGCGCCTCAACTATTTTACTCACTGGGGCTGCAGTAGAAGTTAAATTTTTGAGCTAATTTCAAATGCAACAGGCGTGCGTGGAGCGCGTTTGGTACGTGCAAAGCGTGTGCACACGAGCAAAGTGCACGCTCAGGGAACCTTTGTTACACTGGTAGTAACATATTCCTTCCTTAAATTAGAAACCCCTTGATGGTTGAAATCAGCTCTTCTCTTTGTGAAGATTCAATTCAGGATTCAAGTCATTGATTACACATTCCTAACCTGTTTGAGATCAGATCCACATTTCTGGATACCTTAATTTCTTCTTTGCACAAAATGCTACGTGAAAATCAACAGCAAACTTAAATGAGATATAACAAATTGATGAGAAAAGAGAACTGTCCTCAACTGAACACCATGATTTAATTTCTCACCTGATCTCGCTGGAGTGGTACCAGTTCTGCGGAGCCATTATTTGGAGTTGGCACAACTTTAGCCAAGGTGGCGTTCCTGGGACTGCGCACCTGAAAGGCAAATAGTTTGAACAATCAGTCTTTAGAATTTGGATCAAATCAAGCAATATTTAGTATTTTCTCCACAAGAGAGAAGAAACAGCTGCACTTGGGGGCAAAGCTACATTTATATTAATTGTACTGGTTTTATTTAAACTTAAGACAGATAGGTTGCAATTAGTGTGTCTGAATAATGCAATATTCAGTTTAATGTGAATTGTAAATTGATATCAAATCATGTTTAACACAAGTAAAATTCTGTTAATCTTTGTGTGTGCAAAATGGAAAAAGATGCTGTCAGAAGAAAACAGTACATGTTTTAAAAAAAGAGACTCATTACAATAGAGCAAAAATTTGATGCAACCAAGTGACATGAATGTGATCATACGGTAGCAATGCTAAAATAAGATAAATTCCTGATAATTTTTTTTAAATTTTGCTTTCGATTACGACTTTGCAATTTTGTTAACCATAAATTTAAAGTAGATTCTTTTTACTGTAATATTTCATTAATATACATCTACAAATTTTAGATGTATATACAAAATATTTCATTGATTATTTCCACTGAGCTGTAACCAATTACCATGCCAATTCCTTAGAAATTTCACTTTGTATAGTAGAAATTTAAATAATGCAATCATTTTGTAGGATTCATTAACCAAGCCTCTTGCAAAGAAACCCTGTAGTTTCCCTCCTTGTCCATCAAAGACAGCATCCCCTGGGCGCTAAGTGAGTAGCATCAAGGAGAAACTGTTTCTACAGTTGTGTCTCATATCTGAAACACTTTCCTCAAAAGAAGTCCTATAAATCTTGTTAATAAATCATTGTTTAAAGATGGTTATAAAGTCATAATATTGTATGGGCCTGGAGAGGAGAGGTGAGATAATTAGTAAATAACCTTTAGTTAACTACAATAATAACAATGAAATGTTAATGGACAATATTTAATGATACATACAGGTGTGTTGGGGGGGGGAATGCTCAGATATCCTACTTAACTGAATTAATTTTAGAATACGTTATTAAGGTGTAATGGTTTTGGAGATATATTGAAATTGCAAATGAACGCCAGTGGATGGTTGTGTCTTCTAATGTAGATGATTCTAGATAAAAACATGTTTGAACAATGGTAGCCAAATGAGAATTAAGGTACCGGGATAGTAAAATGTATAACTTTTCTTTCTTGATTTAAAATGTACAACATGATTTAAATGAAGTATATGTAAGGACTGTGGAAGAAATGCACGGAATATATTTGTAACCAATAGATACGCTTTCAACAAGATGTAACAAAATCTGATTTTTTTTTCTGTTTAATTAAAACAATAAAAAAAATTCTCAAAAAAAAGAAGAAGTCCATCAGGCATTAAATAAACGAGCTTCAAATAAAGCCTACGACTTTATCACATGCATTATGTTATTCTTCCTTTGATTGCTCTTGCTTGGGGTTTTAAAGAACGTCTTGGCTTAAAATTTTGTATTATAACTAATGGAAGAATGCAATTTACCTTTGACATTTCTGAAGTAATCAGACACAGAACATATAATACTTAAAATGAATGAACCATGGCAATGCATCAATTCTAGAAAGCAACTGTGCAAAGCAATATCTAGATGTTTGTTACACTTTAGTCCTCTTCTCCCCGCCCCCCCCCCCCGCAGATCATTTAAGAATTAGTGAAGGTTTCTTCCATTAGGCCTGCATATAAAAAGAACTGTGCAAAATGACCTGTCTGGAAGGCTTAGAAGCCTTCTAAACAATGCAGGAGGTTATAGGTGAGAAAATAAATGAGCACCACTAAATAACAATAAGAGGCAGAAAGCTACAGTTTCATAATCTTTTGTTGAATCGGCCTAGCCTAAGATCAAAGTCATTGTTAGCTACATTCTATTACGGTACATGCTTTGTTAAAGCCAAACGCCCCTGATACCAACAGTTCTTAAATTCAGATTATGATTCCAGTTGGCCTATTGTTCTACTGCTGAAATATACCAATTCATTTTAACCAATGTTATCCATTCCAACTGATACTACTTTTTCAATCATGGGCAGATTATGTTCTATGACTTTGAAACTGGGACTTTTTGGAAAACAAACTGAATATATACCCATGAATTACGGATTTTTTATTTTCTCTTTCAAAAGGAAGCAAGTAAATGAAAACGAAAGTACACTAATATCTCAAGGCTCCTGTTAAAGAGGCAGTTATCATCAAATTATTATACTACAGTAGAACATCCAGTGGTCTGACATTATCTAATCTTTACCAGAAACTGGATAACCCTTTAGCAAAAGAACTAGCATCCTATCTTGTACAAATTTCTTCTCCAACCACTATTGCAGTGAAGTTTTAACATAGGAAAATCACAAGCAGCATTTATATTTATATTAATATTCCAAAGAAAAGAGAAGCTAGAAATCTACTTTTAAGTCACTGTGTCACTGTGATGGTTTGATCAATTATTCTGTAATTTCCAAACTGGGCACTGAAATATACTAATGTATATGTTGATACTGGCAGGCTCTGGGAAACTCAATTTTCTTCTGGAGAAAAACAGTATGTGTCCCAAGAATGGAAATTTGGGAACTACTCAATTGTTCATGAAAGATAAATATTGTAGATAATTTTTAAAAAGAATAGAGGTGAGAAACTGAGGGGAAAGCTTAAGCCACACTAGTTTACAAAAATATTAAAAATATGTTAAATAAAACCATCATGACTAAAACTAACAATTCTTTTAAAAAAAACCACAACCATTAAAACAGCTGCTTCTTTTTTAAAGGAAAACAGACAATCTAAAATATCCCATCCATATCAATGACTTTAAAGAAAAGAATCTCAAGCAGATTTACTTCCAATTCAACTACACTCATTAAAATTCAAATGACCACTTCCTATCACATTCTATTACATCCTTAGATTCCAAAATAAGCAATCAATGTATGTAGAATAAACTGCCTTTATGTGCAAAAAAAGAAACCTATTCACTATAACCTGAGCACATTAAAATTAGTCAGGACATTAAACAAGAGTAAGCTTAACAAAAGTGTGTGCCTCAGCAAGTGTGTCCTATTTGTTTTCATAACAAAGCCTCAAGTAGAAGCACAATACAGAAGCGAAATCCCAGTGACTCCATGAGGCTTTGCAGCTATTCTCTCCTTTCAGTCTCAACAGCATTTGGATTTAAAACTCCAAAGTTTGGCCATCTTATCAGTGAGTGCAAGGAACCTCTCTAGACACACCTGAACTCTGACACCTCTTTTAATAAAATACAGGTAGTCCTCAACTTATGACCACACCTGAGCCCAAAATGTGTTGTTCAGTGAAAAAATGTGTTCAATGAATTCGTCCCATGACTTTTCTTGCCCTATTTGTTAAGTGAATCCCTGCAGTTTTAAATTAGCAAGGTGGTTGTTAAATGAATCTGGGTTCTCCATTGACTTTGCTTGTCAGGTGGTCGCAAAATGAACCCTGAACACTGCAGCTCGTCCTAAATACGAGTTCAACTGTCAAGCATCTGAATGGAAATCATGGGACCATGGGATACTGCCATGGTCATCAGTCTGAAAAACGGTCTTAAGTCACTATTTGCGGTGCCGATGTAACTTTGAACAGTCACTAAAGGAACTGTTGTAAGTCGAGGACCACCTGCAAAGCCCACGAAAGGGGTGGGGAAATGAGAGTCTGCTTCTCCCCACTTCCCCATACCTGATCTCAAAAGCCCCAGGCAGAGAAAGCTATGTCAATCTGTGCAAAGGTGATCCGCCCCACCCACCCACCCACCATTCCGCGACCCTCTCCCGGGTGGTCTTTGGGTCCCCCGTTCCCTTCCCCGGCGCAGGACTGACCCAGCAGCAGTAGAGCAAGCAGTGGACGTTGACGCTCCACAAGCCGGCTAAGGCCGTGAGAAGGTGGACGACCCCAATGGCGGCGAGGAAAAGAAGCGCCGCTTCAGGGGTCTCGGTGCCGGCGGCTGACCCCCTAGCCCAGGCGAAGGCGCTCGCCCCCCAAGCCCACAGCCAGAGCGGGTAGAGGACGCAGAAGGGCAACACCGTCCCCCATAGCAGACGCGACCGCCTCCGATATGGAATCACGTCTTGCACCAACTCGTCTCCCGGCCCCGGCCCGGGACCGGCCTCCGCTGTTGCCACCATCCTTGTTCCGGGAGCGGCCGTCGCCGGCTCGCTTCAGGATCACTTCCTTCCACTTCCGGGGTAGGCGCCAATGAAGCGCCCATGCTCCCGGCCTGGGCAGTAAAAGCGCGCATGCGTCGCCCCTTCGCAAGCGCCGGCGGAGCCAACGCTTCGCGCTCACGCCCCTTTATGAATGAGCTATACACGTGGCTCTAGCCAAAGCGACGGCGGCGTCCCAACCGCGCGTGCGCGAAGGCGCGAGGCGTTCTCTTGTGTCCTAGTGACTGGGTTTTAAGCTCCGCCCGGCCGTGGCTCGTTTGAACATGCGCAGAAAGAGGTCCGGGGGTGGGTGGGGAGGGAGCATGCGTGTTGGGGATAAGGAAGTAACGAGTGTGGTTTTGTGGAGCCGAGTGCGGCATGTGAGTGTGTATATGTGTGCTCTTTTTAAAGCTCTGCTCCAAAGCCCTTTTTCAGATCTAAGGGAAAACTCAGTTTTTCTTGCTTCCTCGGTCTTTAACTTGCATCTGCAGAGGTTTCAATCTATAATACTTACAGGATCAGATTAAATGTACACATAACCCAATGACTGGTTGCCGGCAGGTGCCAACCTGATGGGTTTGGCAAAGCAGGAGAGCGGCAGACGGCGACGTTTTGGCTGCGGATTTCCAGCCTGAATTGTACTTGCTACTTTGCACGTGGTGATGGAGGCTCCTCACAAGTAGCAGCCTTTGCTGGATCTCCTTTTAAAGCTGTCTCGATTGTGACCTTGACAACCCATGGTAGTAAATGGTGGGCAGTGATGTAGGAAAACTTACACAATAATACGAATATTATCTTTGAAACTCTGCAAGGTATAAGGCTGTGTAATAGCTCGAGTGAGAAAGAGAGAGAGAAAATTAAGTTTTGAAGTCCCAATGGAGGGGAAACCAGTTGTGTTCTGGCAGTTTTTTGGTGAGTAAACTGTGGTGCCTCCTGAACAGTGTTTAAACCAGTCAGAAATAGCCACTTCCCTGTGTTTTTCATAATGTTTTAAAGGTATACTAAACATTTTTGCATTTCTTTTTGTCGTTATCTGTCTTTGATTGAAAGGCATTCAGGATTTTTAAAAAAAGCTTGTTTCCCTCAAAACAGGCAGGCAGCTCTGGAAATAACCTTGCAGCATTGCCACAAAGAAGCTGAGCAATATGGCCGGTGTGTGGGTGCTAACCCTTCTTCCTGGCAGCAGGACTGTCACCAACTCAAACTTGAAATGGCCAAATGTACATCATCCCAGTAAGTTCCCTTGGGCTGGGGTGTTGTTTTGCCTTTCTGGGGAAATCAGCTTTGATGAATTGAGGAACTTTCGCTCCATTATCTGCCTGTAGATTTCATAACATTCCTGTGTGCAGCAACTGCAACTTGGTAGCTGTGAGAACAATGCATTCCATCATTTTTACTAAGTTCCTGCACTGTTCTTTGTCCATTTTTTTTCTTATTTATAAATCTATGGGACTTTTATTGTAGCCCAATTGTTCAGAAGATTCGCCGAGATTGTGCCGAGCCATTTACTGCATTCGAGGAGTGCCTTAAGACAAATCAGAGTTCTTCATTCAAATGTTCTGAACAACTCCAAAAGTTTCTCGTCTGCGCTGAGCAGGTGAAACTGAATACATAAGGTTGGTGCCTCTAAATGTTTGCATTGGTCATTGGTATGTGTGTGTATTCATAAAAAAAATGATATAAAGCTACAATTCATTTATTGTGTATCTTGCCCACATAGTTGAGAGACCGCCTACTGCCAATTACCTCCACTAGATCAATACGATCGCATAGATTAAGCCTCCTCCGAATTCCATCATCCAGCCAGTGTAGACTGGCAACTACCCGGAGGAGAGCCTTCTCGGTGGCAGCTCTGACCCTCTGGAACGAACTCCCCGTGGAGATTCGTACCCTCACCACCCTCCAGACCTTCCGCGCCACCCTAAAGATCTGGCTGTCCCGGCTGGCTTGGGGTTAAGATTCTAACCCCACTCGAATTGTGTGACTGTTGTGTTTTTAATAATGATGTATCGTCTTTATGTTAGAAATTGTTTGTCCTCCCCCCCCTTTTTTTGAACTGTGAGCCGCCCTGAGTCCCCCCAGGGAAAAGGGCGGCATACAAATAAAGGGAAAATGAAAAAAATGAAAATGAAAATTGTAGCAGCCATTTGACATAATGTGGTGAGAAAAGCTGAAATAACTGACATTATGTCACGCAAGCAGTAACAATATCTTATTTCTCTACAAGGGAAACAGGAGTCAAAAATATAATTTGTCATTATATGAGCCAAGGTGGCGCAGTGGTTAAATGCAGCACTGCAGGCTACTGCTAGATCAGCAGGTCAGCGGTTCAAATCTCACCGGCTCAGGGTTGACTCAGCCTTCCATCCTTCCGAGGTGGGTAAAATGAGGACCCAGATTGTTGGGGGCAATATGCTGACTCTCTGTAAACCGCTTAGAGAGGCCTGAAAGGCCTATGAAGCGGTATATAAGTCTACTGCTATTGCTATTGCTATTGCTATAATTGAACCATTATTGTTCTGTTGCCCCAAGACCAAAGTGCCTCATTGTGAAATTGAGAGGTGGTTGGACCAAAAAGAACTTCTATCATCTCGAGTTTATTGTAATCTTATTCTCGTTTCTACACATAACATGGAAATTTTTGCTGCATTGAATCTGTCTATCTGTCTGTTTTTGTGTGTGTGTGTATGTGTGTATGTTCCAGCATAACTCTGGAACACCTCGAGCAATTTCAAACAAACTTGGTACACAGATAACTTTCTCTGTGGAAACAAATACTTTGGGGTAAGATACCCCTAACACCCCTCGGGGCGTCTGTTCTGTTACAAACACACTGTTGTGCCTTCAAATGGCATCTACTGTACTGTCGTAAAATGGATTCTAATGTACAGCACAGTGGAGTTGCCATGGTAACAGCTTCACACTACTCCACAAGGGAACCCTATCTGGTAAGGGGGAAAATCCAATATTAGAAATTACATTTGATCCAGACATTTTCCCCCTATAAATAAATACCCGGACAACACTGGGTTATCAGCTAGTTTCTTATAGTAGGTGGAAAGTAGTAGCTGATGAACTACATTGCACTCTGGTATTGTCCTACACTCCCCTTCCTTTTTTGATTGTAAGCCGCCCTGAGTCCCCTCAGGGAAAAGGGCGGCCTATAAATAAATAAATCTACAAATCTACAAATCTTTATATTTATTGATTGATGATTATGTGCCATCAGGTTGCTTTTGATTCCTAGTGACCACAACGATAGTTTTTTCCCCCCATGATGATCCCTAACCTGTTCCTCGAAATCTTCCAATAATGCAGACATTGCTATTGTAAGTCCATCCACCCTGCTGGTGGTCACCCTCCTCTTCTTTTTCCTCCCACCTTTTCCAGTTTTTTTCACATCTAATGTGTCTGAAGTAAAATATCCTCTAGAACAGGCCTGTCAAACTGATGGCCCTTGGGCCAGATGCGTCACGTGCCCACCCCAGCTCTGCAAAGGCAAAAAAAGGACAATATGTCACCTGATGTGATTGAGTTTGACACCCCTGCCCTAGAAGATGAACTGACTTGGGTTACCTAATTGAACTGTGAAGTTGGGCTTAGTGGACTCTTAATTTAGAAAACAGTATTTTATATTTTATTCATGACTAGGCTGTTGACCAACCAGTTTGTGAAATGACTGAAAGACTATGACAATTCTTTGCTTGTTTATCTTGCATTTGGGAAACATGCACATTTTGGACCCTGGGTGGTATAACTTACTAATGAGTTTTGGAAGGTAATATTTCATTTTGTGTGTATTTTCTCTCACCCCTTTTTTCCCCAACCCCAGCCTTTTGATTTCTTCAGCAGAAACCTTGCTATTCCTTGAAGTGGCATTATGACTAAAAAAATTCAACCAGCAAAGGCACCCGCTTCTCATCTGTCATGAAGATACCCTTCTCCGCCTGCAGATACATCTTTCGTGTATCTGCAACCATCCGACATATCTCAGCTTGGCTCATTGACATGGAATCTCAATGTACAAACCCAGGTATCTGGGGTAGATAGTTTATTATGCCTGGATCTTTTGAAGGCACCATACAGTAAACTGAAAAGACCCTGAATAATCCTTTCTGACCCAATTTCGCAGACAGAATTGCAATGTTCTATGGCTCAAAGCAGAGTGATCCAGACAGATTAATGAACAGAAGAAAAAAGGAATCTAAGTTGCCATGGAACTTCTCTGAAAGTACTTTAATCTTCTCTCATGGACTGTGAGACTTGCCTCAGGGTATCCTATTTATGTCCATCTGCAGCACCGAGCCAACTTTGACCTGGAAAAAAATCTAAAACAAGGTCAGACATAATTTCTTAGATGGAGAATCACTATATACTACTATAGTTGTACACAGATTGGGAAGCCAAAAAGAAGTCTGCAAAGAAGATAACAGATAAATGTTTTTTGTATTGTTACCAAGAGTAATACATGTCCATGCCACTCAATCACTAGGACACAAACTTAATTCAGAGACATGAATACAGTGCTTTTATTCTCTTCGTAGTCAGTAGAGGGCGCTCTGTCAACATCAGAATGTTCTTGATTCTTTGTTTTATGACTGTGCTGTAAAAGCTGACAAGAAAAATGACATCAAATGCAACATTACATTAATGAAATTCAACAGTTGTCAGCCAAGGCTTCTGACTGGATTTATATACATAACTTTGAATGGTATTGGAATCATGTTTGCAGTATTACATGTGTCAATGCATTGCTTATATCACTTAGCCAGTGGGATACAGGTTTTGTGAAAAATTACACGGTATTCTGAATTGCCATGATAGGATAGGGGAAATGATTTGTAAGGAGGCATGAATAAATGTGCAAGAATGAGAAAATCAAATGAAGACCTAATATTGAATGGCCATGGTGATTATTTAAAGAGTACCCTCTTACAAAAGAAAAGATTTAAGCATGTCAATCCGTACATACACATGGAAAATGACTGTAAGCTAAAAGCATTATTGATTTGATTGTTTATGATGGCAGATTGAAATGATTAGTGAATGATATAGGGGTATTGAGAGGTTCTGAATGTGAGATAAACCATTATCTGGTAGAATCAAAAATAGAGCTTAGAAAATGGATAAGGAAGGAGGGAAAAGAAGCAAACGGACGGAAAATAATGGAGGGAAGAGATATTACAGAATTGCAGAGACATGTATGGAGCTACATTAATAAAGAGAATAGAAATGGATTAAGGTGGAAGTTTTGGGGGGAAACGCAAGAGGGAGAAAAGTTATGAAGGGAAGATATTCTTGCAAAGATACTATATTCTTTGCAAGGAATCTTTATATCTATCTATCTATCTATCTATCTATCTATCTATCTATCTATCTATCTATCTATCTATCTATCTATCTATCTATCTATCTCCTTGCAAAGAATGTGGTCAGAGAGGCTAAGGAGGGATTATGTTTAGGAAAGGGAGGGAAATGCAGATTTTGATAAATAATAATAATAATTGGAAGTAGATTGGGAGAATAAAACAAGGAGCAAAGTGAATGGAATTTAGAATTAAGTGCTGAAATAGTTTGGAATGAAACTGAAGTTAGGAAATGCAAGATGTTATTTATTTATTTATTTATTTATTTATACATACATACATACAATTTTTATTTATTTTTGAACAAAGACAAACAAACAAAAAAACAAACCATCTTCCATTACAAATTGTAGAAAGTGTGTCAGTTGGTTACAGTATTTCCATGCATCTTTTCCTTAGTCGTCACCTGCTTTTCATATCAATTCGCATATTTTAAATTCACCTATATTCATGTATATCACATGATTATTATACCTCAACCTTAATTTGACTATAATTGTTTTTACATCCTTTTATATATAATATTCAAAATCTAGAATAGGATTATATCATAACATTCTATTAAATCATCCTAAAATCATCCGATCGCAATACATCTTTATAACATATTCTAGATAAGGCTTTTAAACCTCCTCTCATATTCTCCATGTGTTGTTTATATTGTTATCATTATTAATCATTATTTGTCACTTCATTTTATACGTACTACTAGTAAACTAAATTTAGCTTAGTTTTTATTATACATTTTCATTGCATCAACCTGTATCTTTCCAGTAATAGTACGGTCTTATATCTCTTGCCATTTGTAGCATTAATGTTCTAGTTACTTTCTTAATAAATCTTGTATAAACTTCTCTTCGCAACATGTTGTTCCTTTTGTATCTCATAACAGATTGAAACCCAGCATCTGTTCTTTTCATCAGCTTATCTTTGGTTATCGCTAGTGCTTCTGTCAAGATTTCTCTCCATCAATTTTTCTCTCTTTTCTTCTTCTGTGCTTTGAAGTCTGGGGTAGAGTTCCAATCTATCTATCTCCCCTTTCCATATTCCGCTCTTGCCATTACCAATCCCACTCACTTTGTTGTTGATATCCACAGTTTTCTTATCTCTTTGCTCATTTTCTTCTTCCATCTTTTGAACTCTGTCCTCCACTTTCTTCATTTGATAAACATCCTCAGTTTCTCCATTAAATTTTTCTGTTTTGTATTCCATATTCTCCAATCTCTTTTCAATTCTCTCTGTCACAACTAATAGATTTTAAATTTCAAACATAATCATTTGCAATGTTACAGTTTCTTTTTCCTGCTGAGCCATTCTTTCACACTGCCACTATAGGGTTCAAGGCTATTTTAATAAACTTCAAACAGGTTCATTTATTATCTTTCAAGTCAAAATGTTGTCTTCCCTCCAATAGCTAGTGATAGAACTCCCAAAAGGTATCTGTATAAACAACTTGTGCTCTTTCTGCTATCACTGTCAGTAAACAAATTGAAAGAACCTTGACTCTCAGGTGATCAAAGAGAAAGAAGAAAAAACAATGTATCCAGCCTCTAAGTGGCAGTGTAACTGCTTTTCCTCCTGTTGTTACAACCCTCTTTATAATCTTTATTATCTTCTTTATATTCTAAGCTTAAGAAAGAAAAAACCCTTAAATGGAGATCAAAAACAATCCAATCAAGCATTATAAAAAAAGAATGTAAATGCATAGGTGTAAGCAAAAGTAAAAAAAGAAGAAAAAATTAATCCATTCAGTTTAAAAAATAGGGAGTCTTTGCAAAAGTTCCATCCGTGAAAAAAAATAATAGAATCAGGATAACACACTAAGTTTAATATAGATTAATTTCGCCACTTACAGTCTTCTGTCTTCAATTTTAATTTATCTTATATTTTTTGGGGGGGTAGTCTCTTCTAATAATAAAATTTCCTCACCAATTCAACACACTTTCTCTTTCCGCTTTCTTCCCGGAGCTGTCCCAACTTCAGCAGCTTCGTTAGCTGTGTTTCTGTCGCCGGAAAAAAAGGCTATTCCTGGATCTTTTAGGGATTTTGCGGTGTCCCTGAGATCAGCAGGAGGTGCCCTTCTCAATCATCGTCTCTACGGGATGGTTTAGGTCTGAATGGACCGTCTAGCAGCAGAAATATCATCTGCGATCTCGGAGCACCAAGATCGCATGTCGTGCCGTCGCGACGTCAGCTCTCCTCTAAGAGCTGCAAGAAGTATTTTAGACATTTCTGGAAGAATGATGGTGATTTGTTGAAGAGTGAAATTGAAATGAATGCTGTATTAGTATCCGAGGCTTGATGGAAGGAAGATGACAAACACTGTAAAATGTTGGAAAATAGAAAAGCCACAGGTAGTGATAGCATAATTGCAGAAATGTTACATTGTGAATGTGATTTGATTATGGAGTGAGCTTGTTTAATGTGTGTATGAAATCTGTATCCATGGCTGTTAATTGAAGGAATGATAATTTTATTCTCTTGTAAAAAGGAAAAGGTACCAAATGTGAATGTAGAACTCCTGTGAAATTAATTTGTTACGGGTTCCTGGGAGATACTTGGCAGAAGACTGCAAGAGATAATAACATTGAAAAGTGCTTTATATGGGTAGTGTAGTAATATGAAACCGTCAAGGTTTATTGTGCATTTATTGATTAAGAGAAAGCATAGAACAAATGTTCTTTGAGGTACTCCTCAACTTACAACAGTTCATTTAGTGACTGTTCGAACTTACAACAACACTGGCAACTGGCTCTCATTTGTGACAGTTGCAGTGTCCCAGGATCATGTGATCCCCTTTTGCGACCTTTTGACAAGCAATGTCAACGGGGAAGCCAGATTCACTTAACAATCATGTTAATAACTTAAGACCTGCAGTGATTCACTTAACAATTGTGGTAAGACAAGGTCGTAAAATGGGGCAAAACTCACTTAACAACTGTCTCACTTAGAAATAGAAATTTTGGGCTCAATTGTGGTCGTAAGTGAAGGACTATCTATTTATGATGGAAGAAAAGCATGGATAAAAATAGAATGCTTGATGAATGGTTTAACAGAGACTGTGACAAATATGGGTGTTCCCTTATTTGCTTGATCTATTCATGGATAAATGCATAAAAAGTGTAGTGACTTTGAGGTATCTTGGTTGGGGAAGTGAGCGTATATGTAGGTTTTAAGCAGCTGATGCCGTGTTATTGGCCCAGGGTTGCAGCCAATTGTAGGATGCAGTAAGGACTATGGATCTGAACATTAATTATCAATGTCAGTCTCACTAAGGACCAGGAAATTAATTTCACAGGAAGATTAAAACTATCTTCACCCAGCTTTGCTGACTAACAGAGACTTAAAAACCTGAGTATGTGTATTTCCTCTATCTTCTTAGACTCATACTATGAATTAAGGATGCACCTGCCTGAGCAGCTTCCAAATATTATCTCATTTCTCAGGGCTTAAAAGATGTTCCAGCCCTTTCGCCTAGGTAAGGCTTCTTATATATTTCTGCCAAGGTCATCTCACTTACCAAGAATGAATGAGGATCAAATTGCAAAAGAAGTACAGGAGGCAAGAATTCCTAGATGAAGAGAAAGGGGAAAAATCCAAAACATTTGTGGTTGGATTGAACAAATGAATTCATCCCAAAGAATGAAGTTTTAAGAACATATTATGTGAGGCATTGTGGAAGCAAGGATGATTTGCAAGGACAGAAAGATGTGAAGAACTAAATATAAGTAGTTTCATTTTTCCCCCCTTATCTCATGCTTTTGGCTTATATTTCTTGCTCCTTTTCTCCCTTTTTTGTAGTGCTGCTTATCCAGGAAGGAAATAGAGGTAGTTCTTGCTTACTGATTGCCTTTTTCAGTTGTAACTGTAAACAGTCACTAGACAGGGCAGTCATTAATTGAGGACTTACTACTGTTAACTCTCCCAAATTGAAGTCTTTACAATATTTGTGGAGAATGCAATGTCTGTAATTGCCAGCCAGAGAAATAAGAATTGGTTAGCTGGGAGTTTGGGCATTTAGGGTGGGATGGGGTGGCAGGAACCCATTTGTTCCGTTTTCTCAGTTTCAAAGGTGTATGATTCCCATTTATCATGACCAACTTCTGGGAAGTAGCCTCCACTGTGTAGAAATCTTTTTTGGGGGGAAAATCCATATCCAAGGTGCAGGATTCTTAGGCTCTTTCTTCATTTCCTCTCTGGAGGAACATAAATCACATGAAAGCTAATTAATGGAATTTTCTAAATGTGCAGCGGTGTTAATGGGCATTAGTGCAGAAGAGTGACTTGTTTTATGTCTTCCCTCTTCCTCTGGGTCAACTTCCCACCCCCATCCAACAACCTCAGACCAGGTTGGGAACATTGCCTTGAACCACTGCAGCCTTGAATTGCCATCTCCTGCCAAGCAACTTGTCAGCGTTGCCTTAATTCCTCATGTGGAAAAATGTCCTCATTTTACACATCGTTTCTTGCTTGCTATTGAGAATGTCCATAAATCAGCACAAGGCCTTTTGGTGTCAAAGTTCTCTTT